TAGCCGGTACTGGGGGGGTCCTGCTGTCCGTTCTGCTTTTCCCTGCGGCTCCTCTTTCGAATTGCGGTGTGTTGTGGCAGGCGTGCTCTGGAACGCGCTGTGAATTTCAACGTTTCGCAATGAAGCGGATCGGATTGGGTCGACTGGACTCTCCACGGCCTGTCCCAGAGCAACCACACCAGGTCCCCGACGGCGGAAATGGCCCACGATACCTTCCAGGACGTCCGAGATGACATCGAGCTGCAGCGTGTTCCGACGGACATCTTCCGCAAAACGCTGGGTGCCATCAGCTACCGGCCCAGGACAGGTTCCAAACCAGAGCTCTCGAGGGCCTCCTGGGGGGCTCTGTGGGCCTCATGGGACCGTCCCGAAAGCCTCTTGGGCGCCTCTTTGAGGCCAGGGGGGTTTCTTGGCGGTCTCTTGGAGTGTCCTGGGGCGCTCGCTGCCCGTTTGATTCCCTGGGCAGCCATTTGGGGCCATTCTGGGGCCCTCTTAGGGCCCCGACCACTGTTGCTCGGGGCTCTCTGAAACGACTTGGGAGCCTTCTAAAAACCCGAGAAGCCCATCGTATACGAAACTGCCCCAGCAAAGCACCCTAATGTCAGCTACGGCTGGAAGCGGACGGACACCTAAAACGTCGGCTTGCGAGAACGACCTCATCATATTGTCGATACGATTATGGAGTTGAGCTTGCTGGTGAAGATGACGCTCGTGATGTCGACCTGGTCACATGAACGCTTTCGTCAATTCCTTTAAGTTTCAGCCTTGCGACCAAACTCCCCCCGGAACACAAAGACTTTGATTTCTCATAAGGTGCTGAAGGAGTCGTATAAATAAGGACCTCCAATCTCTAGTCGGCATGGGGTATGGTTAAGACTAGGACGGTATCTGATCGTCTTCGATCCCCTAACTTTCGTTATTGATAAATGAAAACATCCTTGGCCAAGGCTTTCGCAGTAGTCCGTCTTTAACAAATCCAAGATTTTCACCTCTGACAGTCAAATACGAATGCCCCCAACTATCCCTATTAATCATTACCTCAGCTCTAGAAACCAACAAAATAGAACCGAGGTCCTATCTTGTCATTCCATGCTAATGTATTCAAGGCATAAGCCTGCTTGAAACACTCGCATTTCCTCAAAGTAAAAGTCCTGGATACCGCACCACACAGTCAAGTGCAGCTACGTTCTCCAAGAAGATGCCCAGGCCGAGCCAGATACTCACCCAGAGGGCGGACCGGTCGTCCTCGGCAGAAATCCAACTACGAGCTTTTTAACCGCAACAACTTTAATATACGGTATTGGAGCTGGAATTACCGCGGCTGCTGGCACCAGACTTGCCCTCCAATTGGTACTCGTAAATGGATTTAAATTCTACTCATTCCAATTACAAGACAATTATGCCCTGTATTGTTATTTCTTGTCACTACCTCCCTGTGTCAGGATTGGGTAATTTGCGCGCATGCTGCCTTCCTTAGATGTGGTAGCCGTTTCTCAGGCTCCCTCTCTGGAATCGAACCCTAATTCTCCGTTACCCGTCATTGCCACGGTAGGCCAATACCCTACCGTCGGAAGCTGATAGGTCAGAAACTTGAATGATTCATCGCCAGCGAAGCTATGCGATTCGTTCGGTTATTATGAATCACCAAAGGACACATACGTACACACACAGGATTCGAGATCCTGGAAAGGGCAATACATAGGCACATACGTAAAACACATCAAACTCGAGCCACAAAAGAAGGACATTAATTTACGCAAACACGTAAAACAAATCAGATTCGACACAGAAGAGGGGCAGACCATAGGAACATACGTAAAACACTTGGGATTCGAGCCACAGGAGGGACGGAACCAATTAGCGCATACGCAAAACACACCGGATTCGAGCCTCAGGAGTGAGGCAATCCATAGGCACATACCTAAAACACGCAGGAATCGAGCCACAAGAAGGGGGCAATCCACAGGCACATGCGTAAAACATATAGGATTTGGGGCCAGGAAAAAGGAACTCAACATGCACATACGTAAACACTTTTCGTCGGCGGCGAGGCAGAATTGGCTGCACCAGCGACAAAGCTAGATGGCGGCACATACGTAAACACACATAGGATTCAAACCACAAGCAAGGGGCAATATGTAGGCACATACGTAAAACACACTGGATTCGAGCCACAGAAAAACGACAACCTGTCAGCAAATACGTACAACACATAAGATTCGAGCCGCAAGAGAGGAGTTATCTATAGGCACAGACGTAAACACACATTGGATTCGAGACACAGGAGAGGGCCAATCCATAAGCACATGCGTAAAACACTCAAACTTCAAGCCATAGAAGGGCGGGGGCAATATATAGAACACATACGTCAACACCCATAAGATTCGAGCCACAGAAGAAAGGCAATCCATGGGCACATACATAAAGCACCTGGGCTTCGAGCCACAGGAAAGTGGCAATCTGTAGGCACATACGCAAAACACACAGAAGTCGAGCCACAGGAGCGGGCCAATCTATAGGCCCATGCGAAAAACACACAGACGTCGAGACACAAGAGGGGGGGGGGGGGGAGGCCTAGGGAGGCCTGGGAGCGCCCGGAGGGCAAAAAAAGATCGAATCGACATCTGATACAGATAAGCTTCCGACGTTCCATCCCAGGGCCTGGGGAAGGCCCTGGGGGTCACATTGAGTATGAGCCTCAGAAGAGGGGGGCAATCCATAGGCACATACGTAAACACACAGGCTTCGAGCTACAGGAGGGGGCAATCTATAGGCATCTACGGAAAAAGCACGTAGGACTCGAGCCACAGGAGAAGGGCAGTCCACAGGCACGGGTGCAAAACACACCGGACTCGAGCCCCTGAGGAGAAGCGATCCACAACCACACACGTAAAACACACACGGACTTCCGAGACTTCCGACGTTCCATCCCAGGGTCCGTCCCGGGGCCCTCGGGGGGGCCTTGGGAGAGGCCCGCCCAAGACACAAAAAGAAAAAATGGCGAATCGACACAGGATGCAAATAAACTTCCAACACTCCGTCCCGGGGCCCGGGGAGGCCTGGGGAGACACACGAGATTCGAGCCACAGGAGAAGGGCAATCTGTGGGCACATACGTAAAAACACTTGGGATTCGAGCCACAGGAGAGGGGCAATCTAGAGGAACAGCTGTACAACGCACAAAAGTCGAGCCACATGAGAGGGGCAATCCACAGGCACACACGTAAGACTCACCAGATTCCAGCCACATCCATAGGCACATACGTAAAACACATCGGATTCGAGCCACAGGAGAGGAATAAAATATAGGCGCATACGTAAAACGCACAGAAGTCGAGCCAGGGCAATCTATAGGAACATACATAAAACACGTTGCATTCGAGCCACAGAAGAGTGGCAAAACACAAGAATTTCAAACATTCAAGAAAAAGGCAATATTTAGGAACATCAGTGAAACACAGGATTCGAACCGCAAGATATGGGCAATCTCCAGGAACATAAAAAAACGGTACGGGCAGCCGCCCAGTCTGGGAGACGCCTCTCCCTGCCCCCGCCTGGAGAGGGGTGATCTATATTGGACGCACAAAAACATACTAATACTATATGTCCTCCTTGGAGGCGCGCGTCCGACCCAAACATATAATAATACACCCATCTTGTAGCATGTCGTTTCCCGAGCGGTGTGACCAGAAAGCGCCCACCACGACGCATGTACTGTAAGATTTCTCGGTGCGCGCGTCGCCACTGGGGGGGCGACGCACACATTGTATTAGTATATTGGGGCGACACCGACTATAGGATCCCCCCCAAACTCGCAATTCCAGCTCAGGACAGCCATGTTAGATACACCCCCATGGGTGGCCTGGGCGCAAAAAAAATTGTCCAGCTCGAGACAGCTACGTTAGATACACCCCCTGGGTGGCCTGGACGCGTGATAACACGTGGTTCCAACGTGGGACAACCATGTCAGATAGCCCCCATGGGTGGCCTGGACGCATAAAAGCACGTGGCTCCAGCGCGGGATCACCATGTTAGATACCCCCCCTTGGGTGGCCTGGACACGTGAAAACGCATGGTTTCAGCCCGCCCCGGCGGCGCCCGCGGCAGCGTGGACCCCGCCGCCGGACCGGTGAGACCCTTCCCCCGGCCCCCCGTCTGGAGATTCGACTGCAAGGCAATCGAGCCAGAATACCATAGTGAAGCTCCTTTCTGGATCTGGGAGTGCTGAAATCGTGACAGCATACCATAGTGAGCCTCAGTTCCGAACCACATCGACTCAGAACCGCTGCTGGGCCTGGGAGACGCCTCCCCCTGGCCCCCCTGTGGAGATTCTGGTGAGGGGAAATCTTTAGGGGGCCGCATGCGAACCCCCTAATCTTTGAACCAAATTAAGACCCTCTAGAGAAACGCTGTTCGGGAAAAAACTGAAACTTCGAAAACGTAAGGTTTTCCAAATGGGATATGGGTTCAACATGCTGGGTCGCCTGAGAATCTCTTGGAAGCCGCTGAGGCGCCCCGTGGGTCTCTTAGAAGCGTCTTGTGAGCGATTTCTGTGCCGGTATGATGCCTGGGAGAACCGTAGTGGTGGAAAGTTGCGCGTAGGCAGAAATCATTGGATGTTGGCGTTTGGAAAGCTCTTGGGAGCCTCTCGGGGGCCTCTTGGAGGCATCTTGGGGCCTCTTCGGGGCGTGCTGTGGCCCCTTCGTGCCTGCTGCGGTCATGCTGGGTACGTGTAGGGGCCTCTGGCAGGCCTCTTGGGGGCTCCGCGAGGCATCCTGGGAGTCTCTTGGAGGCTTCTTGGAGGCGCGATGGGGCCTCGTGTGGGTCTCCTGGAAGCGTCTTTGGGGCCGCTTGGGGACGCTCCTCGAGCTTCCTGAAGCCGTTTCGGAGCCGTTGCGAAGCCTCGGAGGACCATGTGCCGAAACCCTCGAGTTTCAACGGGCGCTTGAAGGATTTGGGCTCTCGCGGGCATCGCCCTCTTGAGGGCCTCTCTTCTTTTTTGGTCCGCCGTTGCCGGTCGGAAGAGAACGGCTGGCAAGCATGCCAGCTCGATTCGGCCAGCAACGGGAGCCTGCGACAGCGCAGCGTGGCACTCAGATTTTTTGGGTGGACGAACGCCTCACAGCTGGGAGCCAGCAATCCGCAGCACAAGCATACTGGAGGATAGGACCCACTCGGCAGCTTCAAAGCGGTGGCTTGAGTGGCAACCAAATGCTGCCGGACAGCCCCTGAGGGTGGTGCAAACAGGCACAAGCCATGCACAGAAATCTCAGCAGCCCTGTAAGACAGACAGCCACTGAGAGTGGTGCTAATTGGCGCGAGCCTTGCACAAAAGACTCAGAAGCCCCGGAAAAGGGACACCCAACGAAAGTAGTACAAACTGGCGCGCATTACGCACAGAAGTATCAGAAGCCCTGTATAGCAGGCAGCCACTGACAATAGTGCGATTAGCGCGAGCCCAGAACTGGAGTCGCAGAACCTACTGTCGTTTTTCTTCCGCCCCCCCGCTCGCCCGCGACGCGACAAACGACCCCTACCCATCTGCTTGAAGAACCACCTGCTCATCCTCCGATGAATTACGGCGACAATCACGCTCCCGGAAGCTATCCGGAAACATGATAGATGCGGCTGTGAAATTTCTTTTCCTCGGACTGGCGGCGACAATCACATTCCCAGAGAGCTTTCCGAGAAAGCTGCGGCCCTGCTGGGGTCCTCGTATAGAGGCCTCTGTGAGGCCCTGCGGGGTGTCGACGCTCATGTGGGGGACCGTTTTTTGCAGTTCCGCGGCCGCCTGCGGGGCCCTCTTAGGGCGTCGGGGCTCATTTGGGGGGGCCGCTGTGGAGCATCTTGGGCCAAATTGGCTGCCTCATTGGTCGCCTCTTCGCCCTCTTAGGATGCTCCTGATGCAGTGTGAGAAACGTCATGGGCAATGCTGGAGCGTCGGCAAGCGGAAGGAGCAACAACTGGGAAATATGCTTGAGAGCCTCCTGCTCCGATGAACGGCGGCGACAAGCACGTTCCCAAGAACCTCTCTGGGAACCTGATGGCTGCAGCCGTGCGTGGGCCCTCGCGGAGGCCTTTGTACGGCCCTGTCGGGGTGTTGATGCTCTTTTGGGGGCCTTGTACGGTTGTCGGCCAGGTGTAAAACCCCTCTGGGACGTCGATGATCGTTTTGGTGCCGTTGGAATGTGTTGGGGTTCTTTTGTGCGCCTCTCGTACCGTCCCCGAGCGTCGTGAAGCGGAGCAGGCTACGAATTGCTCGTCGCCTGCTCGGCTGTTCTATTATAGAACAGCCTTGAAACAGTCAAAAGGAAATCCTAGAGGTTTGCCTATTGGATTTCTCTCTGAAAGCAGTTTGGATCCCCCTTGGAGCGTTTTAGATGCCTCGTGGGCAGCATCGAAGCGATGGAGGACATGCTGGGGCCGTTTTGGACGCCCTCGGAGCCTCCTTAAACGCCCTCTTGGCCAGTTCTGGCTCATTTGGGGGGCCGCCTTGGAGCCTCTTGGGCCATCTTGGGGGCCTCTTGGGCCGTTCTGGCGCCCTCTTGGGGCATGTTGGGGCCTTCGTGGGCGCCTCTCGGCCAGCGGCCGCAGATACCACCTGGTGGAAACACCTGTTTCACGCACCGGCCCCCACGGGCCGAGGAGGAGGAGGAGAAGAACGCGGGAGAGAGGACGCACGACGGGCGGGGACGAGACGGACGACGAGCAGGACGACCGAAGAACGCAGGGGAGGAGGCCAACAAACATTCCGAGGCAGACCCATCCCGCGCAGCCGGCCAGGACGGCATGGCACGATACAAAATCTTGCGGCATCTCTGACTCACAGCCGCCCGTGCGGCCTGCGGCCGCAAATACCACCTGGCGGAAACACCTGCTTCACGCGCCGGCCCCCACAGGCCGAGAAGCATGGGAGGAGGCCTACAAACATTCCGAGGCAGACAAAGATCGGCGCACTTGCAGTCTTGCCGCGCCCAGCGCTCGCGAAGGCCGTCGAGCCTGGACATGGGCCCCCACGGGCCGAGGGGGAGGAGGAGGACGCAGGAGGAGAGAGGACGCACGACGGGCGGGGACGAGAGGCGCAGGCAAGGAGGGGGAGGGACGGACGACGAGCAGGACGACGAGCAGGAGGAGGACGAGAAGGAGGAGGAGGAGGACGCAAGAGGAGAGAGGACGCACGACGGGCGGGGACGAAAGGCGGAGGAGGCAAGGAGGGGGGAGGGACGGACGACGAGCAGGACGACCGAGGAACGCGGAGGCAGCGGACTGCACAGGTAGGCACGCCGCGATCGGCCGGCCGCCACATCGCCCGCGCAGCCGGCCAGGACGGCATGGCGTCACGATCCGATTTCCTGCGGCACCTCTGACTCGCAGCCGCCCGTGTGGCCTGCGGCCGCAGATACCACCTGGTGGAAACACCTGTTTCACGCACAGGCCCCCGCAGGTCGAGGAGGAGGAGGAAGAGGAGGAGGACAGGCTGGTGGGGATACGCGGAGCGTGAAGAATTAAGGTAAGAAAACGAAGCAAAAACCACAGGAGCTGGGAAGGCCACGGCAAGGAACGTGAGAAGGAGCGTAGGGGGTGTGCGAAAGAGGCTGGAATGGCCCTGGGCCCATCTCGCCACCGTGCCATTGGGGTGCTCGGTGGGATGTCGAGGGAGGCCTCGCGGGGACCTCTTCGGGGCCGTTGTTTGACCTCTTGGGAACCGTTTTGGAGCCATCTGGGGCGTCGCGTCGTGGGCGCCTCTTGGGGTCATCTTGGGGCCTCGTGGCAGCCTCTGGGGGCCTTCTTGGGGCCCCCATGGGAGCCTCATGGGGCGAAAAAATCGAAATCTATGTTCGTGCTCCCCCTCTTGAGCCCATCTTGGGGCCGTCTTTAGGCCTCTTGAGCCGTCTTGGGCGCCCCTGGGGCCGTCATGGAGACCTGCTAGGCCGTCCTGGGGCCTTCCTGGGAGTCTCTTGGCCCGTCATGAGGCGGTATTGGGGGTTTCTTAGGCCGTCTTGGACTGTCGGAAACTCCGAAAGTGGAGGACCCGGAAAACATTGAATTATCCTGGCGAAGCAACCTAACAGAGATGTGTATAAGCATATCTGGAAGCATTCCCCTTAAGATTCAGGTGAGAATCCAGTTGTAGAATTCTGCTGTTCTCGCAGTCGCAGTCGCATTCGCAATGACAGTCGCAGTGGCAACGGCCTTAGGATACAATGAAATCCTAAGGATGCCTAAGGATTCCTGAGGATGCTTAACTATGCCTATGGATTCCTAAGGATGCCTACGGATTCCTAAGGATTACTAGGGATATCTAAGGATTCCTATGGATTCCTACGGATGCCTCAGCCTGCCTCAGTTTCAGCCTCAGCCTCAGCCTGCCTCGGCTTGCCTCAGCCTCAGCCTGCCTCGGCCTCAGCCTCAGCCTGCCTCAGCCTCAGCCTCAGCCTGCCTCGGACTCAGCCTGCGTCAGCCTCAGCCTCAGCCTGCCTCAGCCTCAGCCCTGCCTCAGCCTCAGCCTCAGCCTCAGCCTCAGCCTCAGCCTGCCTCGGCTTGCCTCAGCCTCAGCCTCAGCCTGCCTCGGCCTCAGCCTGCCTCGGCCTCAGCCTGCCTCAGCCTCCCCTCCTCCCCCCCCCTTCCCCCCCCCCATTCAGCCTCACCTTGTCTCAGCTTCGGCCTGCCTCGGCCTCATCCTCAGCCTCAGCCTCAGTCTCAGCCTCAGCCTGTCTCGGCCTGAGCCTGCCTCGGCCTCAGCCTCAGCCTGCCTCGGCCTCGCCTGCCTCAGCCTCAGCCTCAGCCTCAGCCTGCCTCAGCCTCAGCCTCAGCCTCAGCCTCAGCCTGCCTCAGCCTCAGCCTCAGCCTGCTTCAGCCTCAGCCTCAGCTCAGCCTCAGCCTGCCTCAGCCTCAGCCTGCCTCAGCCTCAGCCTGCATCAGCCTCAGCCTCAGCCTCATCCTGCCTCAGCCTCATCAGCCTGCCTCAGCCTCAGCCTCAGCCTCAGCCTCAGCCCTCAGCCTCACCTCAGCCTCAGCCTGCCTCGGCCTTCACCTCGGCCTCATCCTCAGCCTCAGCCTCAGCCTCATCCTCAGCCTCAGCAGCCTCAGCCTCAGCCTCAGCTCAGCCTGCCTCAGCCTCAGCCTCAGCCTCAGCCCTCTCTGCCCGCCTCAGCCTGCCTCAGCCTCCCTCCTCCCCCCCTCCCCACCCCCAGTCTCACTCGGCTGCTCTCTTCCTCAGGCCTCAGCCTCAGTCTCCCTCTCAGCCTCATCAGCCTGCCTCAGCCTCAGCCTGCCTCAGCCTCAGCCTCAGCCTGCCTCAGCCTTTCTCAGCCTCAGCCTCAGCCTGCCTCAGCCTCAGCCTCAGCCTGCTTCAGCCTCAGCCTCAGTCTGCCTTCAGCCTCGGCCTCAGCCTCAGCCTGCCTCAGCCTCAGCCTCAGCATCAGCCTGCCTCAGCCTCAGCCTCAGCCTGCCTCAGCATCAGCCTGCCTCAGCCTCAGCCTCAGCCTGCCTCAGCCTCAGCCTCAGCCTGCTTCAGCCTCAGCTCAGCCTCAGCCTCAGCCTCAGCCTCAGCCTCAGCCTCAGCCTCAGCCTCAGCCTGCCTCAGCCTCAGCCTCAGCTGCCTCAGCAGCGCCTCAGCCTCAGCCTGCCTCAGCCTCAGCCTCACCTCAGCCTGCCTCAGCCTCAGCCTGCCTCAGCCTCAGCCTCAGCCTACCTCGGCGTGCCTCAGCCTCAGCCTCAGCCTGCCTCGGCCTCAGCCTGCCTCGGCCTCAGCCTGCCTCAGCTCGGGCATTCAAAATATGGCACAGGACTGGTGTTCTGGGAACACGAAAATCACGAAGTGGCCCACAGCTGGCTCCGGGTAATCAAAATATTGTACAGAAATGGTGTTCTGGGAGCACGAAGAACACGAAGTGGCCCACAGCTGGCTCCGGGCATTCAAAATGTGGCCTGGGAATGGTGTTCTGGGAAGACGAAGAACACGAAGTGGCCTACAGTTGGCTCCGGGCATTCAAAATGTGGCCTGGGAATTGTGTTCTGGGAACACGAAGAACACGAAATGGCCTACAGTTGGCTCCGGGCATTCAAAATGTGGCCTGGAATTGTGTTCTGGGAACACGAAGAACACGAAATGGCCTACAGTTAGCTCCGGGCATTCAAAATGTGGCCTGGGAATGGTGTTCTGTTGGCTCCGGGCAATCAGAATGTGGCCTGGGATAGGGTTCTGGGGAGTCCCCGGATCCCCCGGATTCCCCCGGCATCCGCCCAGACCCCCCTGGGGAGTCAAGATGCTCTCTTTTGACCCCACTAGAAACCTACAGTCTTCGCTGTTAGGTAAAAACCACCAGAAACCGAAGATTTGTGCCTCTCAGGGCACTCGTCTGGGGCCTCAGACGCCCACTGAAGCCTGCCCGGGGCCGTTCTGGGGCGTCGTGGTGGCCTCTTGGGGTCATCTTGGGGCCTCGTGTCAGCCTGGGAGCCTCTTGGGGCGGAGAACTCGAATTTTCGGTTCACGCTCCCCCTCTTGAGCCCATCTTGGGGTCGTCTTTCGGGCCTGCGGCCTGGGGCCGTACTGGAGCCCTGTTGGGCCGTCCCGGGGCTCTCCGGTGGGCCTCCTGGCCCGTCCTGTGGCAGTGTTGGGGGCTCGAGTTTGGCGGAAGCTGGCCCTGACTGGGCCACGCACGCACGTAGACGGGGAGACAACACAGGCCTTTTCGCCTCGCCACCCTGTCCCCAGGATGGCCCCAAGAGGGCCCAAAAGACTTCTAAGAAGGCCCAAGAGAGCCTCAAGAGGATCCCCAAAAGCGCCTTCAGAAGCCAAAACGATAGGTTTTCCTCTCGCCTCGCCTCGCTCTCTCAGAGTCACCGCTCGACGCCTCTCAAAGATTTTAGCGTTCTCGCCTCGCTCGTCTCTCAGAGGCCCCCGACGACCCGAGCAGCCTCAGAATGGCCCCGAGGCGCCCGAGAAGCCTCCGAGGGGGCCCCAAGACGGCACAGCAGAGCCCCCGAGACGGTCCGAGAGGCCCCCGAGACGGTCCGAGAGGCCCCCGAGACGGCTCCAGAAGACCCCACAGGAGGGCCCCAAAGGCGGCAGCGGGAGGCCCGCAGGACGGCCTTCCGAGGGGGCCACACGGCGTAAGAGCACCCCGATGCGGCCCTGGCCGCCCCCCGAGGGGCCCCAAAGAGGCCCCAAAGAGGTCCCCAAGAGGCCCAAAGAAGCCCCAAAGAGGCTCCCACCAAAGCCCCACAAGAGGACCCCAAAACGGGCCAAGAGGGCGAAGGCAGAGCGGTCCTTTGGAGTCCCCACCAGGCCCCGCAAGAGGCCACGAGAGGCACCCAAGAAGCCTCCTGGTCCTGCTCTCCTCCTCCTCCTCCTCCTCCTCCTCCTCCTCCTCCTCCGCCTCATCCTCCCTCCTCCTCCTCCTCCTCCTCCTCCTCCTCCTCCTCCTCCTCCTCCTCCATCCCTTCCTCCCTCCTTCCTCCCTCCCTCGCTCCCTCCCTTCCTCCCTCCCTCCCTTCTCCTCCTCCTCCTCCTCATCCTCCTCCTCCTCCTCCTCCTCCTCCTCCTCCTCTTCCTCCTCCCTCTCCTCATCATCCCCTTTCCTCCAGCAGTGTTCCCCCAAAGGTTTCCAGAACGGGGGAGAACGTAGCGCTGTAGCATGGCAAGACTTCGTTCGGCCAAACGTTTGGTCACGCAGGCGTTTCCAAAAGGCAGCGGGGCGGCGGTGCTTTGCCGTGGGCGTCTTCGAGGAACGGACCCGTCGGAAATCTGAAAGGGGTCGTCTTCGGGTCGACACCCATCATCCGCCTGGGCCAGTAGCATCATTCGAATTAGGTCGGGCATGTCCTCCTACAGGCGGATTTTGGAAGAAAAATCAAAAAGTAGTCAGAAATATTGAAAAATAGTCAAACGAGCACGAAAAATCGTCACCATATTTCCCCAATCAGAGCTTGCCTCTGTAGGGGTCCTAGCGGATATAAAGCTGAGGTGAGGTGAGCGGCCGATTTCGGTGGCCGGGGCCGGGTGCCCGGGTGCCCGGGGTTTCCCGGGGGTGCCCGGGTGCCCCGGTGTGTGGCCGATTTCGGTGGCCGGGGCCGGGTGGCCGGGGGTGCCCGGGGGTGCCCGGGTGCCCAGGGGTGCCCGGGTGCCCGGGGTGCCCAGAAGTGCCCGGGGGTGCCTAGCCCAATAGCCCTATATCCCTATAGCCCACTAGCCCAATCGCCATGTATCCCTATAGCACTATAACCCTATAGCCCTATAGCCGTACCTATACGACCACCCTTCGGGTGATAAGGAGGTTCGGGGGGGGGGGAAACCAACGTCTCACTCGATCGGTCTCACTATCGATCTCAGTATCGATCTCACTATCGGTCTCGCTCGATCGATCTCACTCGATCGATCTCACAATCGATCTCACTCGATCTATCTCATTCGATCGATCTCACAATTGATCTCACAATCGATCTCACAATCGATCACACAATCGATCTCACATTCGGTCTCAATATCGATCTCACTATCGATATCACAATCGCTCTCACAATCAACGTCATCGTCATCATCATCATCATCATCATCATCAACATCATCATCATCAACATCATCAACATCAACATCATCACCAACATCGTCATCATCATGAGGGCACCGTCATCATCATCATCATCATCATCATCATCATCATCATCATCATCATCATAAACATTATCATCAACGTCAGCATCACCATCGGGACAACATCATCATCATCATCATCATCATCATCATCGCCATCATCATCTCATCATCGACATCATCATCATCATCATCATCATCATCATCATCATCATCATCATCATCGGGACACAGTCATCGTCATCATCATCAGCAGCATCATCAGAATCATCATCATAATCGGGACACCATCATGATCACCATCGTTCTCATCATCAACATTATCATCAACATCGTCATCATCCTCGGGACACCATCATCATCATGATCATCGCATCATCATCATCATCGACATCATCATCATCAACAACATCATCATTGGGGCACCATCATCATCATGAGCAACATCATCATCAACATCGTCATTATCATTATTATCATCATCGGGACACCATGAGTATCACCATCATCATCACCATCATCACCATCATCAGCATCATCATCGGGACACCATAATCATCATCAAAAACATCATCGTCAACATCATTATCGCCGGGACACCATTTCCATCAACATCATCATCACCAACATCATCGGAATCATCATCATCATCATCGGGACACCATCATCGTCATCATCATCAACATAATCATCATGAGCATCATCATCCTCATCATCGGAACACTATCATCATCATCGACACCATCATCAACATCATCATCATCTTCACCAAGACACCATCATCATCATCATCATCTCATCATCATCACCATCATCATCACCATCATCATCATCATCATCATCATCATCATCATCATCATCATCATTATCATCGTCATCGTCATCTCATCATCATCATTCTCGCGGGACACCGCGGGACACCGCGGGACACCGCGGGACACCGCGGGACACCGCGGGACACCGGCGGGACACCGCGGGGCCCCGCGCCCCGGATGAGAAACATTTGGTCCGGCCGCGCCTCAGCCACAGGAGGACACCGCGGGACCCCCGCGGGACACCGCGGGGCCCCGCGCCCCGGAAGAGAAACATTTGGTCCGGCCGCGCCTCAGCCACAGGAGACTTTTTCTCGCCCGCCCACGCAGCTTCGCCTCGCACGCACGGCACGCACAAACACGAAACCGAAACCGATTTCCCGGTGGGGGGCTCGCCGTTCCACTTCGATCTCACCCCCTCACCTCCGATAGCCCTATAGCCCAATAGCCCAATAGCCCAATAGCCCCATAGCCCCATAGCCCTATAGCCCTATAGCCCTATAGCCCTATAGCCCTATAGCCCTATAGCCCTATGGTCCTAAAGCCCTATAGCCGTATATAGCCCTATAGCCCTAATAGCCTTATAGCCCTTAGCCCAATAGCCCTATAGCCCTATAGCCCTGTAGCCCCATAGCCCCATAGCCCTAAAGGCTTCTAGCCCTATATCCCTATGGCCACATCGCCCTATAGCCCTATAGCCCCATAGCCCTAAAGCCCTAAAGCCCCATAGCCCCCCCCAAAATTCTGATTGGGGTTTTTCTCTGGTATCATATTGTTTTACTATTCTTGGATATTCCTCCTGTGGGGGGAAATGCCCAACTTATCATTAGACGCCACGAGCGCGAGGGAGAGAGGAAGAGGGTGAAGTCAAAGAGGGAGGGAGAGGAGCGCGGGCCCTGCATTGGCAGGCATGTCAGTTCTTCTGGCCACAGGGCAGAGCGAGGCGGCAGGGCATGAGGAGCTTTCCTCTCGAGTCCGGATTAAAATGTGCGTCAAACGAGATGTACCGTTCGACTGGACTACTGAGCGATAGGGTCACCGGTTGACTCTGTAATGAATATGCGGCAACTCCTTGGTGGGAGCAGGGAACGGTATCTGCTGGCCGCCAGCGAACAGGGCCGGTTTAAAAAGTTCGGGTACCTCTTCGCGCATCACAGGGCTGTTCCGGTAGCGATCGATGTTCGCCGCCAGGCCCTGCGTCTGGGACAGGAGGACCTTGCAGGCTTGCGAAGCGGCGTTGCCAGCAAACATGTAGCCGTCAAAGACGTTGATGAAGTGCTGCACGTTCTTCCCATCGGTAAGGTTCACGAAGCCGTAGCGCAAGCACAGCTTGGTCTTGAAGTCCATTGGAATGTAAACGAAATCATAGAGCCCTGCAAACCCGTTGATGTTCAGACTCCGAATCAAAGCCCTGCGACTGAAGCCAATTGGCAGGTTGCGCAGCATCACCGTGGTAGCCGTCTGGGGCTTGGTCGATTCCTGTCGCAGGATGTCAGCAGCCGAATCACCGAAATACTCGGGTTCATCCTTGGGTGTGCTAGCTACCTGCGACGACCAGGGAACGAACGCCGAAGCCCTCCTCTTGAGCGGAGCG